AAGACACAACCAATCAAGCAACAAAACACACCCACACTGCACTCACACGTGTAACGTCACACAAGCACCCGGCCGGACTGTGATAATCCCCAAGCGCAGCCATGGTATTGTGCTTGTTTTGACAGTCCCAACCGGCCAGAAACTGAGGTAGTGTTTCGTTGTCACTTCCGGGGGGGGGGGGGGACTAGAATGATGGGGGATGTTGTCATCCTTTGGTTTTCATTGTTGGTGTTTCCAAAACGCAATCCGCTTTCCAATTATTCATTTCCTTCTGGATTCCTTCTAAATTAATCCAACAAGTTCAGCTTGTTCAGCAAGCAAACATCAACATTGTTTGCTGACGTGTTTCTTGGAAACCGTCCAACAAGTCAAGCTGGGTATGTCAAAAAAGGAATCATCGACATGGCTGGCTTCCTTTCTCCAATTCTCCCAGGCGGTCCAGTCCCATCATCTCCGGGTTATAGGAGAACTTCTTCTCATGCACGATGATGGTCTGGCACACATCTCTAAGCCCCAGTTCGACCCACTGTGGCCATGTGGTTCACTAACAAAAAAACGCAGATGCACAACTGACCCACTTCAATGGCCATGTGGTTCACTAAAAAAAACACAGATGTACAACTAGCGGTGGTTCTTCTGGTTTCCCTTCAAATCCAATTGGAAAGGCGACCCTCAGCCCCGACACCCTGTTGGAGGCCTCCCAATGGAAGTGCACAAAGCAGTCTTCCAGGAGGAAAGCTGCCTTTCCACAGGGGGAGGCTAAGTGTCTTGAGTTTTTGTTTTTTTTCTAAAGAGGCAAGACAAGAAAAGCCTTCGAGGTGTTTTGAGGATGAACAAACAAAAAGAACGAGGCCAAAACAAAAGAAAAACGAAGCCTTCGAGGCACCAAATATAATTTATCTGCCTCTTAGCCAGCTGCCAGGGAACATGGGCGGCATCCGTCTGGCAGTATGGCTATGTTTCGACAGCAGGGCCCCTTTTCGGCGGACAGGGTGATTGTGGCCCCAGTACCCTTAGAAACACAAAACCCAAGTGAGCCCGCCATTGCAGGCCAGCCACAGCAGACAACCCCACTTTTGGTCCCAACAACTACCCTCCCACCAACTTTTCTCATGGTACCTTCGTTTTGGGCTCCTGGTTTGGACGGACGGACCATGTTCCCTTTAAAGGCCCCCTTTCCACACATGGTACCTCTTCATTTTGGGTTCCTTCACCTGGACCTGGACAGATTGTGTTCCTTTTCAAGGCCCCCTTTTAACACATGCTACCTCACCTGCGTTTCCTTTTTTTGGACGGACGGGCCATGTTTCGAAAGGCACGCACCCGGTCGCCTCGCCCTCCTTCAAGCCCATGAGCTTCATGGCCTCCGACATGCCCGTGGCCTTGCCGGGAGCCGGCAATGGAACCAACCGCTCGACGCAAACCACGGGCGAAAAAAAGGCGCGAGTAAGCCGCGAAAAGAACCAAAGCGCCAGGACTCATAAACTGCTGACATGAGGTTCGATCAGTTGCCTTGAGGAGAAGTAAATCAAGTTGGCAACAGCGAACAAGTTGCCAGCGCGTTCGCACATAAAACCCATGGACTCTGGGGGTGGCAGCTTTGTGGGGCTGTTGTTTTTTCTTTTTTTTTCTCTGCTGTCGCTGACACGAGTGCGTGCCAGCTGAGTGTCTAAGCTTCTGGGTTGCCCTCAAACCGTTTTCCTCTTGGCATGGCAATGTGGATGGCCACCAACATGGAGTTGCATCTTTGGTGGGACGTTATTGACATGCATTGCATGTTGCCTGCTAAACTTGCATGGGTCAGCCCTATCTGCTTTTAGCCTACTCCAAAATGGGAGTTGGTTGGCAAATCCAATGTTCAGGAATCCTATTTGTGACAACTACAACACTAACCCTAACCCCTTTCGTACTCCAAGGTTAAGGATTGCCATGGGATTGCCATTGATCAGCCCAGCGTGACCCAACCAAAAACGCGTATCCGACATATTCTAAGTTGTCTGTACGGCGCTTGCATCCCACAGGCATGGCGGACATGCGGGCTGCCGTGGTACGGCATCCAGGATAAGCTGAATGTGTTGACTGCTCGCCCAGAGGCTTTTTGGGGAAGTGGACTGGGGGAAATGTTAACTGCATCTGGCTAACCAGTTGCGGCCCATAGGGCAAGCTTCGGCACCATTACCCAGCCCTGTACCCAGTGCGTCCCAGTTTCACGGGCACGGCGCTCTTGAAACCGGGAAGGGTCCAAGAGGTACAAGTCTCTTTGCCAAAAAGTAGTAACCAGTTCCTTCAAAAGAAACATCCATCGAGACCCGGAAAAGTATTTTTTTGGCAAACCTGAACATCATGCCAGTCACTGGGCGAGGGTTCCATCCAGCAAGATCAATTGCAACGGAATATGTGAGAACAGATGTGTATACCCATCTGTATGTGTATGTATAATATATACATATATACACATACTTGAGCAGAGCGGGATTAAAGCAAGCAAGCCACAGGCACTATTTGTCGAGGGTGGCATGGGGGAGTCCAGCCTACAACCTGCTGAATTATAAACTGCCCAAAGCAAGCCTGCCGAGGAAACTCCTACAGCCGGAGTGCAAAGCATAGCCTTCCATTTGCTTAAGCCCCTGGAAAAATGAGAAAATATTTCCAGTAGCGATAGATTCCCTTTAAAACCAGCAAGGGAAAATAACATAATGTTCTTAAGCAAATGGATGTAGCTTAGGACAACTCCAGCAGTGATTTCGCGATGTACGTGCAAAGCAGCACGCCGATTTCAACGCAATGAGAGCATGGATATGCCAGGTTTATGTATATGCATATACATGCATACACACATGGATGTTGCACATACAAATGCATAGATGTCTAAGCATGGCACAAGCATGCAAGTAAACCTATCGTGCTTACAGCAGCCAGCTTGGTAAGACTTGATGAAACATGGGACATAGGTGGCAAGCATGTGCCGGCAGTTCGTACGCAAACAGCACGCATGGGAGAGGTGTTTCACACGGGAAAAAAAGGGGGGAAAAAAAAACGACTATCAGAAAACGCTGCCGCCTCTTAACAACTCGATGTAACACCGAGCCCAATCACATGCTTGACATGCCATCTAAACAACAGCAACATGATCTAGCTTGTGATATAGTAGTGGACAAAACAAACACCACCACTGCCAACCTAAGCCTCACCACAAACACCATCATCATCATCATCATCATCATCATCATCATCATCATCATCATCATCATCATCATCATCATCATCGTCATCATCGTCATCATCATCATTATCGTGATCATGCACCCTGCACACGTCACCATAAACCATGCACTACGCATCATGCACCAAAACCACCACCACCACCAGCACCACCAGCACCACCACCGGCACCATCATTTCCACCGCCACAATCACCCTCAAACATCAACATCAATGCCGACATACAAGACCATTTTAAGATTCAGCGACACCCAGCTTAAACCTGGATTGATTTTGGATCCCTGCAATTTGGACGAATTTGTTTCGAACGGTTCAACAGTCACGACAGTCAAGCCCAAGAACAACCAAGCAAAACCGAGCCAGATGAACAGCTAAATAGATTGGAACCCGGTAAGTCGCTTGTGTCCAACAAACAAACCGGTTTAGAGGGTGCCGCCGGACAAAGGGTCCAAAACACCATGGGGTTGGCCGGGTTGGGGTGCAAGGTAGATTTTGGAGGAGAACCAAGTGGTTCTCTCTCGACGAAAAAAGCGGGGCCTTGAGCACTGCGTTCAAGCGGTCGTAGCCGCTCTCATAGCTCCAGTCCGTGAGTTTGGCCACCTCCGCGTCGTTTTGTTCAAACGGGTCAAGCCGATCCCAACAGAACTAGGCCCTCCAGTAGAGAGGTTAGAATAATAATATGAGATATCCTTTTTCTGTAGTCAACTTAGTCGGGGAACCCTCCCAACCAAACAGAAGTGAGAAAGGGCACTACTGGGGGACCTAGACAACCAGCTTTCACAATCACCCGGTCAACTGGTCGATCCCCAGAACCACGCCTTCAAGAATTTAGAGGGGAAACCAAAAGAATAACCATCAGTTTGGAGTAATGTGGACCCCATATGAGGCATAATCAAAACCTGGTATAAAAATGGGGCACCCAAAAACATGCAAAGAACTAAGAAGGCGGATATCCGCAGCTACTTCTGGCAAGGGGATCGTGCCTTAACCTTCATCAATCCCCGGGTTTTGATTATGACTCACCAGGCGTCAGGTACCTGGTCCGGAACGAGGGGCCGCACCAACCACCAGCTGTTGCCGAAAAAGGTTGTCGTGGAGTGGCCTGGGTCTGGAACAACCAAAAGCATGACCCGTGCCCTTCTGGTGATGGGATATTTAGCAACCATAGAATCACCACATGGGAGAATTGTTCAGCCATGCCCCAAGAATTTACCCAAGAGCAGTACTAAAGCCCTTCACGAAAACCACCCAGCACCCCCCCCCACACTGCATTTTCCCTTCCAAAATCTCAAGTACTGTCCAAAAAGCAGTGGTTTGGGGGGGGGGGGGGGGGTGCTGGACGCAGTTTGCCTTTTTTTGGTGCCGTATTTCATCCAGCGGAGGTCTACATCTAAGAAACCTTCAGGCCCGGAATCGCGCTGGTTACCTCGGAGGTCTATAGTGAATCAGCTCCCTCACTTTTGTCTTTTGTTTCTTTTGCTGCTTCTCTTGTTCAATCAGCTCCCCGCAAACAAACGACTCATTTGTTCTTTTCTGATCAACCTTTCAAGTGCGGAAGCCACAAACCTCCCCAAAGCCAGCAATGTGGCTTCAGACAAAATCCGAACCCCCCGAAGCTCAACCGGGCGAGCTGGACCTCACACAAATCCCAGCCTTCAGGCTTTTGGAGGCCCTTGCCCGTTGGAAATGCCAAGTTTGGTGAACAAATTCGAGGGGCTCTTGACGGTTGGAGGGTCCAGAGACAGGGGGACGCTAATCCCCACATAGAAATATCTCGACTGGGGGATTTTAATCCCATCTTGACTAGGAAGCTACCCGCTGACTTCCAAATCACCACAAAAATGGGGGGGGGGGTCACTTGCAAACAGGATGCAAACGTCAAACTTTCTCTCGTAATGTGAGGCAAAGGCACTTCCCTTTACATCACGAGTTTCTTTGGGAAAGGCGACGATGTTCAACAGGGCTTGGTGGGGCCCAATGGATAGCGCTTGCTTTGAATACCGCCGCGTGTAGAATGCAGTGGACAATAAACCTCTTTTGTATATCGATATGCTACATGCATGTGTACATTAAAATCCAAGTTGATTTACATTGATTCCGCTGGGATCCGTGAAAAAAAAGACAGGAAGAAAAACAAGGGCAACACATTTGGAGGCGAAAGTGGACCAATCAGAACCAAGCCAGGATGCCGTGTTCCTTTCCTGCACAACTTCTTGGTCAAATCCCTGATCGCCTTACAGCTCAAGTCACCCTTTGAGTCCTCCATGGACATGTACCAAAGATCCTTTGGATGTGTTCCTCAACTGAGAAGACATGCAAGTAAGCTCAGCTCGACTTTCTAGCCCGGATTGACAGGAGTCCAATCATATTTCCCCCAGTCCAAATGAGGAGTTTTGCAAATTGGCCCGCTGGAGGACCGGCGATCAAAAGGAAACCAATTGGTCCCCGAGTTTGGAGACAAACCCACACACAGCCCTCTGTGAGCCAATTCCTGCAACAGAACTGGGCGTGTAGATCTGCACGTGCTTGCACCGGACCTCTAGTCGATCTCAACCAGTTAAGCTTCAAACCAATGAAAATAGCAAGAACTGAGGAGTCATCAGCAAAACAAAATACATCTAGAGAGCCTGAAAGGGCGTCCCGTGAATGCAAATCGCTCGCCGGATCCGATGGCCTTTTCGACTTCCGGATGGATCAGCCGCCAAGCCTGACCGCAAATGGATCTACTTGGAGTCTGCTTTTGGCCCTGCAAACATTGATCACATGGGAAGCACACCCCCACCCACACGTTGAGGGTCAAAAGGAGACTCCAGGTACCCCGAAAATCGACATAGAAACCGAAAAGGGTGCACCCCAAAAGAAGATTCCGCTCAACCTGATCGCTTGGGTAGATTCTTTTTGGGAGTAAACGGCCAAATGCCGGGCCGAACCCCCAAAGGATCCAACCTCCAAACACAAATCCGCACCCCAAGACTTGTCTCAAATCTGAGGTGCACAGGGGAAAACGCCGTTTAAGATGATGCTTCATATTTCTGCAGAATACGGCATAGCTTTGGTCACAGAAAAGACCGAGGGATCTCATTCAGTTGGGTTCTTAAAGACTTCCGATGTGACAACCCCCCGACAGATGTGCCCGTCAAGAACACCATAGGGGTCAAGTGGTTGCGGACATAGGCTTGGCTCAAAGCAGGGAACCCAAAGTGGGTGAGCTGAATCCTTTTTTGCATGAGACACACTCACATCTTCAACTCTTTTTCCAGATGACAAACATGGACAGTGGTCGTTGCTCGCCGCCACAGGTGAGTGACTGCGAGTGTTTGACTAAACAAAAGAAACATGCAAGTGCAAGTCAAACACGGGTTGATTGAGCATCAAACTGGATGCACATGTATCATCACCGCCTTTCCAAATTGAATCAGCCAATCGTGGGGAATGAGTGTTGGTGACTGCTCGAACTACCGTTATCTACTACGTCTACGGCTGCATGTGGTGTTTCCAACCCGGTTGCCTTGGGCTATGGTGAATACCGACATGATGCAAGGGAACGAGGGTTACCCCTTCGGCAAATTATGAAGTCGGTTTGCTCGCAAAATGTAGGACAAGCCATCGGTGCGTTGACCGTTTGATTGACATGGCTTCTCAAATCCAGTAGGTAACTAGCCATTTTCCTGCTGCTTGTGTTCAAGGGTGGCTCCCTTAGTTACCGGAAAGAGAAAACAAAAAAAAGCTAGCGAATCCACTGGGGAAACTCGCGCTGAACTCCTGATCAAAATCAAGTACAGGGGCTTACCATGAAGCTTGGGACACTAGGGCGCACCCTCAGGTGGCTAGTTTCCTTCGCTTCATTTCTCAAACAAAAGCTGGTTTTAGGGTTCAAAACGGTTGAGAGGGACGGAACGATTCGTTCACGGGTTCGGGACCCGCATTCCCACAAACCCGGAGAAAAAACAAGAACGGAACCGAGCCGCGAGGTCGATCTGATCTTCCGTTGCCGCAGTGCGGTACCCCGTTTGCCGATGGAATTCCTGGAATTCAATGGACCTGGGAATGGGAAAAGGTAGAAAAAGAAGGGCATTACACAACACAGTGACAGTTGCAGCGCGATCCCCCTTGAGCAATTCACCGGGCAAGATTATTCGGAGTACTGTGACATTGCCACTGAGAAACCGCGTTGTTTGCTCCAGTGTTCCTTGCATGTTAACCTGATGAGGCCAAATAAATCATGCCCGCGCCCCCGTGCGGTTCTGCCTCATCGATGACATCCCACTCCACTTTGGACTGGCACGATGCGAACGCAAATCCCATGTGGCCGAGCGTGAGGGAAAGCAATTGGAACAGGCCAACGACCATCCTCGTGATGGAAGAAGCAGGGACTGCCAGTGTTGCGTGGGAACGAACCTAGACCCATGCATGCAGAATCCCCCAGCTCATATAGTGCGAATTGCAAACTGGCCGAAGCCATAATCGGCTCAAAATTTGAAGCCCCCAAAAGTTGTTCAAGAACACAAAACAAAACGGGTGCCTCAAACACAGATACACCCATGTGTGCCATAGTCAAAGCTCCCTCCGCTCCGCCGTTTAGGCTATATGCCCAATTTTAGGCGGCTGTTCTTTGTTTAGCGGGCTTCGTCGGTTTTCCTTTTCAGGCGGGCTTCCATTTTGAGCGGTGCTTCTTCAGACGGGTGTCTTCGCCGGGCTGAAGGACAAAGTAGACTGGCCCAAGAACCGCCCTGTTGAGGTGGGTTTCGACTTTTAGGTGGGTGCCCAATTTGAAGCGGTCTTTCTTTGTTTGCTGGGCTTCCTTTTTTAGGCGAGTTTCGCTTTGTACATGGGTTTCCAACCCAAACAGGGATGATATGCTTTTCCCGAAGCTCGCTCTCTACATGTTCTATCCGAGGAAAAGACCCCGCCCATCGGGGAACCGGAGAATGACGGTCATTCCCTTCGAAACAAACGAAACTGATACTAACGACTGATGAACATAGTCTTGTGGCTCGAGACAACTAGCGATGGTCAAAGCCTCTAGCAGGCAACCCACCAAACCAGGGAAACCCACAATAACAAATGACTAGAATTGGAAACACACCTAAAATGCAAAATCTGGCTGACAAAGCTGCTTAAATTGGGCAGTGTCGACTGCTAGTAGTCGGAAGTACCTCCGGCCAAGTCTAACACAAGTTCCGCCAAAGTGGGCACCCCACTAGAACAAAACAGGTCCCTGAGGAAGAGCCGGCTTAGTTCTTTACCTTCTGGCAAAGAGCTTCGGTCCCTAAGTTTTAGCTTGCATGTTGGTGCAAGCCTATAGGGTTTAGGGTTTGGGGTGCAGCCGCACAGGAAAAGCACCACGATCTGAAGGTTAAGCCCTTAAGCCCGTCAAGAAAGGCCCCCAATCCAAGATCCTTTCCACTTCAACATTAAAAACCAGCTAACCAGGGAAATCCACCTCAACAGGGACACCCATCAACAGAAATGGCCGCTTCAATCGACCTAAACTGGCATCCCACCTAAACAGAGAAACCAACCCAATTAACAAGTCAAACATCTCGACTCTTGATATCGTAGCAAAAAGCTTTGCTATTGATGCCGCCCCCCAGTAAACATCAACAGAACCAACAAACCAAAACCAAAAAAAAAACAAAAACATGCCAAGAACAGTGAAGAAAAGCCGCCTCGAATTGGAACCGCACCAACAAATTGTGCAACCCACCTAAACAGGAAACCCACCAAAACAGGCGGGTTTCCCACCTAACAATGAAACACTGCTTCAATTGGACACACAGCTAAAATGCGAGAAGCCCCACCTCAGCGAAGCCCCACCGAACAGTGAAAAGTTTAAAGCCCCGTCAAATTGGACAACAGGGAACCCACCCATACAGGGAAACTCACCTCAATCGGAAACCCACCTAAAAAGGGAACCCCTCCTGAAAGGCTTAAGGTGAATACTGGCCGGAACTCAGGCCGCTCGTAAACGTTGGACTGAGTAGCAGAAACCTTACTCTTGGCTTTCCACCGTCCGTTGCTTCTCTGACCAAAACGTTCCCCAAATCTTCCTCTTGGCTTTCCCCCGTCCGTTGCTTCTCTGACCCAAACGCTCCCCAAATCTTCCTCTTGGCTGTCCCCCGTCCATTGCTTCTCTGACCCAAACGCTCCCCAAATCTTCCTCTTGGGTTTCCCCCGTCCGTTGCTTCTCTGACCCAAACGCTCCCCAAATATTCCTCTTTGCTTTCCCCCGTCCGTTGCTTCTCTGACCCAAACGCTCCCCAAATCTTCCTCTTCGCTTTCCCCGTTCGTTGCTTCTCTGACCCAAACAAATCTTCCTCTTGGCTTTCCCCCGTTCGGTGCTACGCTCCCCAAATCTTCCGCTTGGCTTTCCCCCGTCCGTTGCTTCTCTGACCCAAACTTTTTCAAACGCTCCCCAAATCTTCCTCTTTGGTTTCCTCCGTCCGTTGCTTCTCTGACCCAAACGTTCCCCAAATCTTCCTCTTGGCTTTCCCCCGTCCGTTGCTTCTCTGACCCAAACGCTCCCCAAATCTTCCTCTTGGCTTCCCCCCGTCCGTTGCTTCTCTGACCCAAACGCTCCCCAAATCTTCCTCTTGGCTTTCCACCGTCCGTTGCTTCTCTGACCCAAACGCTCCCCAAATCTTCCTCTTCGCTTTCCCCCGTCCGTTGCTTCTCTGACCCAAACGCTCCCCAAATCTTCCTCTTGGCTTTCCCCCGTCCGTTGCTTCTCTGACCCAAACTTTTTCAAACGCTCCCCAAATCGTCCTCTTGGCTTTCCCCCGTCCATTGCTTCTCTGACCCAAACGCTCCCCAAATCTTCCTCTTGGCTTTCCCCCGTCCGTTGCTTCTCTGACCCAAACGCTCCCCAAATCTTCCTCTTGGCTTTCCCCCGTCCGTTGCTTCTCTGACCCAAACGCTCCCCAAATCTTCCTCTTGGCTTTCCCCCGTCCGTTGCTTCTCTGACCCAAACGCTCCCCAAATCTTCCTCTTGGCTTTCCCCCGTCCGTTGCTTCTCTGAACCAAACGCTCCTCAAATCTTCCTCTTGGCTTTCCCCCGTCCGTTGCTTCTCTGACCTATTTTTTTGCAAACGCTCCCCAAATCTTCCTCTTGGCTTTCCCCCGTCCGTTGCTTCTCTGTCCCAAACGCTCCCCAAATCTTCCTCTTGGCTTTCCCCCGTCCGTTGCTTCTCTGACCCAAACGCTCCCCAAATCTTCCTCTTGGCTTTCCCCCGTCCGTTGCTTCTCTGACCCATTTGTTTTCAAACGCTCCCCAAATCTTACTCTTGGCTTTCCCCCGTCCGTTGCTTCTCTGACCCATTTTTTTTCAAGCGCTCCCCAAATCTTCCTCTTGGCTTTCCCCCGTCCGTTGCTTCTCTGACCCATTTTTTTCAAACGCTCCCCAAATCTTCCTCTTGGCTTTCCCCCGTCCGTTGCTCTCTGAATTTTTTTTCAAGCGCTCCCCACCCCGTTCCTCTTTTCCTCTTGCTCTGACCCAAACGCTCCGGCTTTCCCCCGTCCGTTGCTTCTCTGACCCAAACGCTCCCCAAATCTTCCTCTTGGCTTTCCCCCGTCCGTTGCTTCTCTGACCCAAACGCTCCCCAAATCTTCCTCTTGGCTTTCCCCCGTCCGTTGCTTCTCTGACCCAAACGCTCCCCAAATCTTCCTCTTGGCTTTCCCCCGTCCGTTGCTTCTCTGACCCATTTTTTTCAACGCTCCCCAAATCTTCCTCTTGGCTTTCCCCCGTCCGTTGCTTCTCTGACCCAAACGCTCCCCAAATCTTCCTCTTGGCTTTCCCCCGTCCGTTGCTTCTCTGACCCAAACGCTCCCCAAATCTTCCTCTTGGCTTTCCCCCGTCCGTTGCTTCTCTGACCCATTTTTTTCAAACGCTCCCCAAATCTTCCTCTTGGCTTTTCCCCGTCCGTTGCTTCTCTGACCCAAACGCTCCCCAAATCTTCCTCTTGGCTTTCCCCCGTCCGTTGCTTCTCTGACCCACTTTTTTTCAATCGCTCCCCAAATCTTCCTCTTGGCTTTCCCCCGTCCGTTGCTTCTCTGACCCATTTTTTTCATCGCTCCCCAAATCTTCCTCTTGGCTTTCCCCCGTCCGTTGCTTCTCTGACCCAAACATTCCCAAAACTTCCTCTTGGCTTTCCCCCGTCCGTTGCTTCTCTGACCCATTTTTTTCAAACGCTCCCCAAGTCTTCCTCTTGGCTTTCCCCCGTCCGTTGCTTCTCTGACCCATTTTTTTCGAACGCTCCCCAAATCTTCCTCTTGGCTTTCCCCCGTCCGTTGCTTCTCTGACCCATTTTTTTTCAAACGCTCCCCAAATCTTCCTCTTGGCTTTCACCCGTCCGTTGCTTCTCTGACCCAAACGCTCCCCAAATCTTCCTCTTGGCTTTCCCCCGTCCGTTGCTTCTCTGACCCATTATTTTTCAAGCGCTCCCCAAATCTTCCTCTTGGCTTTCCCCCGTCCGTTGCTTCTCTGACCCATTTCTTTTCAAACGCTCCCCAAATCTTCCTCTTGGCTTTCACCCGTCCGTTGCTTCTTCGACCCAAACGCTCCCCAAATCGTGCTCTTGGCTTTCCCCCGTCCGTTGCTTCTCTGACCCATTTTTTTTCAAACGCTCCCCAAATCTTCCTCTTGGCTTTCACCCGTTCGTTGCTTCTTTGACCCAAACGCTCCCCAAATCTTCCTCTTGGCTTTCCCCCGTCCGTTGCTTCTCTGACCCAAACGCTCCCCAAATCTTCCTCTTGGCTTTCCCCCGTCCGTTGCTTCTCTGACCCAAACGCTCCCCAAATCTTCCTCTTGGCTTTCCCCCGTTCCGTTGCTTCTCTGACCCAAACTTTTTCAAACGCTCCCAAATCTTCCTCTTGGCTTTCCCCCGTCCGTTGCTTCTCTGACCCAAACGCCTGGCATCTTCCTTTCGGCTTTCCCGTCCGTTGCTTCTCTGACCCAAACGCTCCCCAAATCTTCCTCTCTTCGGCTTCCCTGTCCGTTGCTTCGACCCAAACGCTCCTGCAAATCTTCCTCTTGGCTTTCCCCCCGCCTGCTGTTTTCTGATTCAAACGCTCCTCAAATCTTCCTGGCTTTCCCCTCGTCCGTTGCTTCTCTGATATTTTTTTGCAAACGCTCCCCAAATCTTCCTCTCCTGGCTTTCCTCGTCCGTTGCTTCTCTGACCCATTTTTTCAAACGCCCCCTAAAATCTTCCTCTTGGCTTTCCCTGTCCGTTGCTTCTCTGACCCATTTTTTTTCAAACGCTCCCCAAATCTTCCTCTTGGC